ACAGCGCCTCCTGCTGGGGAGACTCATCTCACCTGTTCCCCCCTGCCCCCCAAACGCCGTGGGCTGGGACCCCCCCCCCCACGTGCAGTGAGTGTGTTTACACCCACACCCCGTCACACGCCTGGTGGTGGAGGCGCCCAGACAAGGACCTGCCCCCGCCTCCCCCCCCCCCCAGGGCCTGGGCTGCAGCTGGGGAGGGGGCAGGGCGCTGACATGGGGGGGTTCAGGGTTCTGGGGAAATCTCACCCTCCCCGGCATTGCAGAGCCCCCCCAGATTACACTCCCCTTGCCCCGCTCCAGCTTGGCTCTCCCGGTGGGTACCACGGCCGCTAGCCCAGGGCCCCATGGGGCAGCTGCTCCCCGAACCCCCCCTGGTGGCAAGTTGTGGGATTGCTGCGGGCCTCAGTTTCCCCACGCGACAAGTCGCCGTTCCGCTGGGGAGGCCCCGAGCCGACACGGCCCCCGGCTACTGGGGAACGCCGGGGCCTGGGGGACAGAGCTGGGTTCGAGTCTGGCCTCAGCAGCACGACGTGGGGACCCGGGAGAAGCTGGGAAACTGAGGCCCGGGGCCCAGACTGTGGGCCTGTCCCACCCCATCTCCCCGTGGGGAGGGTCACACACAGGCCCCGCGGCGCTCGGCCAAAGGGTGGGTTTATTGCGGGGGGGCTCAGCTGTCCAGGCTCATGAGTAGGGCGGTGCCCCGTTTGATCCAGTGGTCGGCGGGGGCGGCGCCGGCCCGCAGCTCCACCCCGATGACGAAGGAGGGGCGCCCGGGGGAGCCAGTCCGGTTTGGGTAGTAATAGCAGGGGCAGGCGTAGGTCCCTGCGAGAGAGGGGGGTCAGGGGGTGGGGCCAGGCTACCCCCCGTCAGCCCCACGCCCCCCCAGACCCCTCCCCCCTCAGCCCAGTAGCCCCCAACCCCCCGTCCAAACGGGCAGCGCCCCCCCAGCCGGTCCCCCATGTGGTCAGCGCCCCCACACCCCCGCCCCCCTCAGCGCCCCCATCCCCAGCCCCTCCC